GGCTTTATAGAAAATTACATTCTCCCCCATTTTTCTTATTCCCTGCTAACACCTATGACAATAATTAGCCATCTCTCTTCCTCTCCTACAGGGACTAACAGCCTTATCACCTCCTGCCTTGAAACATCCTCCTCTGCTCAGCAGGTACTAACCACCCTATTCACTCAATTTGACTGCCCAGATAATGTAACAAATTAAACTCTGAACAATTGTTTCTAACCTGTAATTTGCTGAAGGCTGATGACTCTCAGAAACATCTAGTTTGACCAAAAAACATGTCATTTTTGTCTGCATACGTCAACTAGTCTTATAAAAAAATACGGTCTCCTTCCCTGAAAGACTTGCTTCACTTATGGTCATTACAACTATCAAAATCCTAACACAAAGAAACTTTTATGCCAAGAAAGAGAAAGTTTATTATTGCAGCTACATGCTGGATTAAATATTTACAGACTGAAAGTCTTTAGAATTGTAGGCAAAGTCAACTGAAATCAATGGGAAAACTGTCATTTAAATGGACTTTATTTCAAGACCTTGACTAAGGTGACACAATTTCTTTAAAAAAACCCCAACTGTTATACCATTCAGCAACAACAAAATGGGACCTTAAAAATTAACACTATTTACATGGACTTCTTTACTATTCCACAGTGTAGGTAGGATGTGAAGGAGACTCATATGAAGACCTAGAGAGCAGACAGGAAAATAGAACAATATATAAAAAGCTATTTTTACAGGAACTAAATATTTCTGGAATGTGAGTTCACCTGCCTTATCTAAAGAACAGCGAATTCATTTCTCTTTTTAATATGCATGTCTGACTCACACTCTCATTAAATAAGTAGATAAAACTTTTTTCTTTTTAATAAATTCAACTTAGGCCCTATAGGAAGTTGTGAGAAATGTCACTAAATAGTTCCAACATTTTTAAATTAGGATTCCTATAGTCTGATTGTGGTGCAAAAACTAATGAAAAATAGGAAATAATAAAAGATATATCTAACTTCTGGTTCTCCAAACCCTAGTAGGGGTCTTCACAAATCACGAGCCTGATATTCACGGATATATCCACGCTTGCAATAGCGCTTTGGTAGAACAAGACGTGTGTAGACAAGTAAATTCTTCTCAAGATGAAGGCATCTCAAATCAGCTTAATAAAATAGCACGTTTGGATTCTCTATAAAGGGAATGAATTATTAGTTTACATTTTTCTGTCACTAGGTATCTTTCCTTGCTCTTTGATGCTGGCAATCGGTTATCTCCCTGAGGCACTACAGTGATGCGTTTACATGTCACCGCATCCCTTGCTGTGCTGAATTGTCGCTCCAAGATTCAACATGGCAGGCCAATGTAAAAATTCAAACATATCCGAGGGCTGACAACTTCTGCCTTACATATATCCTGCGCTTCTCTCAAGTCAGTTGAGGGTTTGCTCTGCTAAATGAAAACACAACTCCAATTGCTATTAGCCGAAGGTAATGGAAGGGAAAGGGGGACAGGATTTTCCTCAGTTTCAGTGAGTACGTAGGGTGGAGCACTGAGAAGATCAAACACTGCATCTTTTCGTAACCTTTTCATTTCTTTTCTTCAGCTAGACAGCTTCATATTTTGGCATCACAAATCAGTGACCCACAAAAAGACTGAAGACCGTAGCCATGGGTCCCCTAAGAGCAGTTTCTAAAGGTGTAACCTGAATCTAGCAGTAGGGGAACACTGGTGGCCATGATACTATAACTGTTTTCAGGATGCTATAGCTATTATTCTCTTAACTAATCCATCAGTATTTAGCAATTCTTAATGGATTTCTCTTCTAGAACTTGCCCCATCTCCTCCTCCATCTACATACACTCTTAAAAAGCACAAAACCCTTCAACGAGGACTTCACCATTCCACACATCAACAGGTCAAATAACCTTCTGTGAAGGACAATTCCCCTTCTGCTTCTTGTAAATGTGGCTCTGACTAGAGTATTTTCCTGTCCCTGACTACTTGCCCAGGAAGCACCAGTAACTGCTGTACAATTTTTCACAATGGGCAGTCTGCACTTCTTTTGTGCTGAGAAGACAGCAAGTAAAGAGGGCAGATCTTTAGATTATTATTTGCAGAGATTTCCCAAGGGTCCAGCCCTATGACCATGACAGTGGTAATTACAGAAATTTGACTTCTCATAACCTCTTGCAATTAAAACCAGGAATCGCTTCAGAGAGCCAATAAAAGACACCCTATCATTTCACCACACTCAACGATCTAGAGGAGAAAAAAACCCAAACATAACAAAATACCCACAACATGCCATCAGGGACAGAAGAAACCCCAGAGAGAAGATAGATAGCCTGTCCAAATAGATAGGGCTACCATGTAGAGAGGTTAAGTATCAAGCAATATAAAAATGGAATTCTGAAGGCAAGTTCCAGTTCAAAGAGACAGGCTGGCTCATTATCTTGAGATGTCTTCTCAAGGGGATTTATTGCAAGTCTGACAACTGCAAATGAGTTACAGAAAAGAACAGGCAGAATGATAATCACAGCCACCACCCAAGAGTACGATACACAGTACAGTAGTCTGTTTGTTACTGACAACCTATAGTTTCTTCCTCTGACTTTAAATGTAACTGATTTTGGACCATTATTTATATGGATGAGGAACCATTTCATAAGAGGAAACCTATACCTCCACAGCTGATGTATCATTCTCCTGCTTGTCTGAAAGACGTCAAAAGTAAAAAAACCCAAAGTTGATGGGTATGAGAGCCCACAAGTTTGGCTCACTGACTGTGTCAACGTTCACAAAGGCACAGAACATGAAGCAGAGACTGAGTGTTGAAGTCTGCCTCCCTTTTGGAGGCCAAAACTAGTGTCTCTGAGCATTAACGGCCTTCTAATCCCCAAATGGCCAGTTTGTCCTCAAATACCTTTTGTTAGGAGACAAAGGTGTTTTGAGGACTAACAATGCAGAACATCCCTGGTAATCTCCAGCTTGTGGGGGGCGAACACAAGTACACAACACGTTGTTGGACGAAGTGATTCCAAGTCCCTGCTACATTTAATTATTCTTCTGTGCTGTTCCTTTCATCGCATTTCCACTCCAGACAACCTCAGCAACTACAAAGACACAAAGCAGAGAAGCTTGCAGCTCCCTGGGGATACGGATTGTCGCTTGAAAACCTCAGTGAACTCTGAGTAAAAGCGTTTAGTGCAGAGGAAGTCTGGCAGGCAAAAGACTACATTTAGCAAGAACAAGTTACTTTAATTTGAGTAAGTAAATTGCTAAGGCATGGGGAAAAGCAAGAAGATGGGAGAGGGCAATCAGCCTGTGAAAGCTGGAAGTACCCGAGAGTTGCTAGAGGAGATAAATAGCTGTGATGGAAAGGATGTTGGAAAACAACAGTTACAGGGGCTGTTTCCTATAGAAGGATGTTCATCTCAGATTATGAGACGCTGTGAGCGTGGCAACCTTTCCACGCACTTTGCATACACAAGTGTCACATACACCACACATAGCAGCTCGTAAATCTTCCAAAACGCAGCACAGCATCCAGCCTTTGAAAACTATCACGTTAAAATCAACACTTCTGTGACGGAAACTGAAGGATGGGGGCACATCCCCTCTGCCTTAAACTGACAACAGGAGCAGGATTCCTAGACCTTTGATCTAGCGTTGGCTGAATCAAGTTTTGTGATAACAGAGTTTCATTGCTTGGGGCCACGTTATACCCAGACAATACCCTTCAGAGAAAAAGCACATTACAAAGTTTTTCTTTTCCCCTTTAGGAAGGCCTTCCTATTACCCAGCTGGCAAAACAACCAGATGTTTAATGACCTAAGAAGCTGATCAGGGGTCCTTCCTCCCCTTAGAAAATAAGCTGAGAGGAAGAGCAATTTAACACAGTTCATAAGATTTGTGCCTTAGAGTCCTGAGTCAAAGCAATCAAATTTGAGGTTATTAAAGCAAAGTCTCTCAGTCCCAGGCTAGGGGAGCATCCTGGAGGCAACCTTGACTGCCAGCAACACAATGCAGGACTTCTCACCCGTCACCTTTCCATTTTCCATTTCCTTGTGTATTCAGCCTTGCCCTAAGCAGGGAAAGTGAGGAAAGGAAGGACTTCTGGTTGCTTTGTTGTAGCTCCAGTCTGTTTATACACATTAATACAAACTAGGAGATGCCATTAGAGCCAGAGGCAGTTTCACCTCCATGTTCTCCAAAGACACAGTATTAGCCAAAAGGCAGATATCAAAGCGTGGTGCAAGAGAGAGGCAGGAGCTAAACAAAAGAGCAGAATTATTTACAATTTGTCAAGGCTGCATGGGAGCGTACTGTTCCCTCTTCTTATGAAATAAAATGCTCCTTATTTTGCTCATGATATATTTAAATATATCTGTATTTTTTGACATTATTAGGTGTAAAGTTACGTTTAGGTTTTATGTTAGCAGGCTCGATAAACCGTGGTTCCTTTTGCTTTACCTCTACTGTTTCACATTTAGAGACAATAGTAACAGGTCAGTGGTTCTCAGAACTGCCAATACACTGAATTTAAGTGGCAGCACAAAGGAAAATAATAAAAGAAACATTTATTCTTCTCTGTAATACAAAATCAAATAGCAGAATAAAATTTTGCTACTACTGTACTCCACAACAGTGATGGGGAATGGTTCAGAAAATAAGATTTTATCTGAGTTAACCAGAAAAAAAAAAAGTCTCTGTGACTTCTATCATGCCATCAAAAAGACACATTTTGATCTTGGAAAAGGAATTTAAAAGTTTCTTCGAACAAATTCTAATATACCTGGAAAGTCAGAGAAGTGTATTAATTTCCAGATATGTCTTTCAGTAACTCTCACCACAGCAGTCAGGACTGGCTGATATTAGCCTCAGCAATATCATTTTAACAAGTTAATTATGCCCATAGCCATTTAAATCTGAAGTCCATTCATTCAGCACAGCTGGCAGCACCAACAGCATGGAAGTGAGGAAGGAAAGTGTACATTATTGTCTCTTACCACAGTATAGATCTGAGGTTTGCGCCTTTTTGCCAGGTCAATTATATTGACTCCGTTGTAATAAAGGTTCTCAATGCACCCGTGGAAATTTTTCCTCTGAAAGGTTCCTGGTTTCCCCGGCACAGGAATCCCTCCGAAACTGAGCTTTTGGAAAGAATAAGAACAATATTTAGTTATCACCCCAAAAACAAGAGGGCAGAGCCCCACTCCATGCAGCCAGCCGAGGTATTAACTAAGAACCAAGTCACGTTAACAGCATCACCTCGGAGCACGAAGCAGGGCCTGGCTGCGCAACAGGGGAATTACAGGCTGCATGGCATTACAGCTGTTGGCGAAATGCTGCTGCTGCTGCTGCAGACAGCTCACTAATTTGGAAACAGCTTTTGAAGTGCCTCGACACACTGCTTCACCAACCCAGTATCACCAGCTCCCTACCCAGCAGCACCCAATGCATCAGGTGATGCTCAAATGCTCTCCAGCCCACAGCCCCCGCTGGCCTGGGGGCTGCCACCCAGCAGCAGAACACAGTGGCCAGGGACTACCGAGCAATGGGGGAATAAACCCTTCCTGCACACAGAGCGCTGGGTTTGCCTGTGAGCTGGAGTCACACCTTTCCACCAAGCACGTATCTGAACAGTTCTGCTTTCAGCCGGTGGAGGGTAGTATCACACACACGAACTACCCCATTGGCACCTTGCAACCTAAACTTTCCCTAAAACCTAAGTTTTCCCTAAATTTTGCTGTGGTTTGGTCTTTGCAATACTTGCACGCGATGTCTGGGACTGAGCAGTGCAATGGAGAAGTTCTGCAGGTTACACATTTAAACAAAACTTCTGCTGTGCCGTTGTCTAAATATGGAAAGATGTTAGTATTGTGCAGATTACAACTCATCACTTATCTGGAGGGCTGAAAGCCCTAGGAGGACAAAGACCCTAAGAAAATAAAGCTTCCAAAATCCTAGGGGCAAAATTACTTCAGATTCCTAAAGGAAAAAAAAACAAACAGCCAACAAACAAACAAACAAAAAAAATAATCAAAGCCCACAACCCAAAAAACTTCTGACAACACTATTTTTATTTTGCAGATGATAAAGTTCATTTCTAGTTAGCTTCACTGGCCTTCTTGGCAAAGTCTTACTGGTGGTACCGCTGTGTTTTTATTCTTTTTTCCCATCGCCGCCAGCAGCATTGTGAGTGATATAATGCAGGTGGGGATCCCGGAGCCCCCACACTTCACAGCGCTCCCAGCGCATCGGGAGCTGTGCAAGGGTCCACTGCAGCAAGGGCATGCACTGCTGCGCGGCACTGCTGACACACTGATGGCTGCTGGAAGCCAGTCAGCCTTATTCCTCTGTCACAACTCCTATCGGCTCACCTTGGCTCATTATTACAAAAGTAAAGGGAAATTTGGGGGTTATTTTCCCCCCCGCTCCACCTAACAAGCTGGGATACATAAGCAAATGAAAAGTCCCTGGATAACCTTGAAAGCGTTTCTTTGAAAACAAGTCCTTAATGAACTTGCACCTCAGTTGTATTAATTGATCACTTCAGAGAAATAAAGAGTAAACAGGCTGCTACTTCACATCACTTGCAGGTTTGTTATTGGCATGAGGGCTTATGTGGTAGCAATGTTTTTTTCCATTGAGAATCATTAGTTCTTCCTTAAAACACCAGACTCCTTTCTTGTTCTGTTCTTTTAAGACTCCTGCTTAGGGACTCTGTACTGGGTTTCAAAACCAGCAGAAAAATCAGTATCAATTGTACCACTGCATTATTAAGAAAATCATTTAGTTTGTGATTGGTAATAATTTTAATTACCGAACTAATGGTTTTATTACCCTTAGTAAGGCCTTTAGTCCCTAAAGTGTGGTGAGATAAACTTTCAGTATACTGTGTTGCTGTAATGTTCGACTGAAAGATCATCTCAGTGCAAAAGGAAAGAAAACACTTTGTGTGAAAAACTAAGCACCAGAGGCCAGGGCCGAGTGCCACAGAGGTCAGTCGTGATGCTGATTTACACCAGCTAACGATCTTCTCTACCATGCTGCCTGTTTTGGAACATCTGGAAAAATGTTCTGCAAATTACATTGGAGCCTGAGTTTTCCCTAATTGGCATCAACCTTGTAGCAGGAAGCAAGGTATTTTATTACTTTGAAATAAGGAAAGGTGATGACTCAATTTTTTGGCTTATCTCAACCCCATCTTAAAAAGTAGTCACAGCTTTGGCCCTTGCTAGTTCAGTCTGACGCTGTTCCAGAATCTTACTGCTCAAATGTGCTGTCCCTAATAAATGTGCTTGTGATTTGGTACAGCAGTGCCAGGGGACAGGTACCACTCTCTTCACCCTGCTTTGTGAAACGCAAAGAAGGGAATTTCAGCTGGAGCACGAGAGGAGCAGTGAGCAGGCACCTGCCACTGCCAAGCCATCTGCTTTTGTCCCTTGGGTGCACTGGGAATTGATCCCTTCCAGAGAAATGAATCCAAAATGCGGAGGCGAAACTTGTGCTCTCTTAAGCGATGAACCATGCCAGCTCAACGCATCCGGACAGGGTGATGGCTCCGACTGTGTGAGCATGACCCTGTGCCTTGTGGGCTAAGCCAGACTCAGTAGACAAGCGCGTGGGGATAAAAATGAACACGGGTAATTTGCACGCAGGTGGGCATTGGTGGGGGAACAGATGAGGAACTGCCTTGCATATAGATGATGTAAAAGTTTTTTTAAGGTATTTTTTAGTGACTGTCAGCCATAAGCACTGAACTGCTGGAGTGATATAAACTGCACTCTGCCACACCTTGGCCTCATCACTGGGGAGCACAGCAGCCTTGGGATTTATGGGCAGATGTTTCCTCTGCTCAGTCCTTCCTTGGCTGAGCTGCTCCAGCTCCCTCCATCAAAACCCCAGATGTGAAGGGACCTGGGTCGGCGCTAGTTGTCTTGGCAGTCATGCTCAGGGTCTTCTGTTCCTAGTGGGAAGGCAATGGTCTTTACCTGCTCCTATCTATGTGGAGAGCTGTAATCTGAGCAAGTGGTGGCTGGATAGAGGCACAACTGAGAGCTGGTATCCCCACGGTCATGTCAATCAGATGCAGGGATGGTGCGCAATGATCCCATTAAAATCATATTGGAGATGATGACATCATCTGAAAATTTGACTAGAATCCAGGCTATACCTTTTAGTTTAGCTCAAAGTCTGCCATACTTTGCAGTGTAACCATAATCCAATGCATATTTGTCCAGAGACAGGCTAGTTTCTGAGATTGTCATATATAGAGTTGCACTGACATAGTCTATGTTTGTTAACTGTGAAAGGAGCTCTGTGGGAAGGAAATATTACATAAAGAAAACACCTTTGCTGGGAAGAAACAGCTCATAGGGTGGATGTTTTCCATCCCATTCATTTTATACCAATTCAGCCTCATCTCCCAGGTTATAACCTTCACACACCTCATAATCGATATCCAAGTGATCCGAATCCCCCTTCGTTCGGAAATGCTGAGTGTGCTTGTCCACTGTGAAGTTCACTTGCTTGTTGAAGCGCTCTATGAGAACTGAGTGCCAGTGCTGGTCATCCAGGAGGCTGCCCAGGGTGACGGACGTGTGGCTGTTACTGAAGTGCAGGTTGGAGTCACCTGGGGGAGGCAGAGACAGGCAGAAGACACCAGAGTTACCTCCACGCTCTTAACTGAAGCGTGAGGGCTCAAGGGGAGCAGGGAGCAGTGCACATCCAGATGCACACTGGAGCTCTGCGCATCAGAAACAGACCCTTGGCAAAGCTTCCCTGAGATTCTTTGGGTATATAGATTCATATATGTAAGTACACGCACATGCACACACACAGAGACTTTTTTTCCCCTTGAAATCATAGCAATAAACCAGGACAATTTCCCAATGCTGCACACACACACTGCAGCATACCGGGAATTGCCACTCTGCCTGTGCCCTTCATTCCCCTGAGCATCTGAGGCCCTGGTGTTTTAAAAGCTCCCTTTGGGTTGCACTAAAAATCTCCTATCTATTCACATTAATAGTCGACTCCTGACATTTCAGTTTCTACTATGTGCTTTTTGTATTTTAACAAGAAAATTACACCTGTCCATTTTCAGGGAAAAAAAGCCCCAAGTCGATGAAGCAACATGAATGCACGCCTTCCCTTCAGCTCCAAAAGGTTCTTAAACCTGGCCTAGATCTCCAAAAGTTTAGATCAACAGTCATAAAAACATTTAGGCCCTAACCCTGGTGATTCCAAGTACTCTTCTGTTTTCCAGCTGGCTACATGTCTAAACACTTCAGAGCCTCTCATTGAAAGGGAGTGCGTGTCCTTTTTTATATCCCAGCAGAATGGAGAGAACACATGCTCCAAAACTGTCAGGCAAAATGCAAGCAGATTCAAGAGCAGACATCAAAACCCTCACCCATGACATATAAATGCACACAGAGGATTTGAAATGGCTAAAATCTTTATATTTGGGGCTACTGTTAAAAAAAAAACAAACAACCACCTCTTATTTCAGACTATGTATTCATAACAGCATCTCCTCTGGAAGAAGTAACATAATGTATTTAATTATAATATATCCTTGTCCTAGTATGAAACATTTGGAAAAGGAGGACAAATCAATGGTGTCAGAGAATCCTCCCTACATTCAGAGGCTCAAGATGTAGCTACTTGGTCCAAGTAACAACCAAGTAACAAATCAGAAAAACGATGCCTTATCATTTCTACTCTTTGATGAACAAGAAAGAAAGAAAGAAAGAAAATATCAGTTGGAGACAAAACAATTAATTAGCTAATGTAAAAACTAAATCCAAAAGCTATGGAAAATTGCTACTGACATTTAAAAAAACCCCACAACTAAGCATCAGGGGGAAAATGCAGAAGGAATTATCTACGAATTCTGTTTTAGTACCTCCAGTTTGCTCCCACTAGTTTATGTTTTCTCTTAATTCCCCAAGTCATAAGCAGGGGACTGAAATGGATACTGCATTGCTGCCTGCTTTATCTGCTCTAGACAAACTTCTTAAAGTGTCCTGGAATTGGTAGTCCGAGATCTGCTAATGCTATGCATTAATAGAGGCTACATCTCCCATTTTTATTAAAACCAGCCTTGGCGGTCCAAGCACCATGTACATGAACTGCAAATGGTTCAGATTACTTTATTCATCAAAGTTATTAAGATTAAGAGTGGCAGTGAAAACCTTGGACCTTAATTCCCTGCCCTCCTTGCCCACACCCTCTTGGTTAACACAGGACGGGCTTTTGTTTCAGCTTTCCATCTGGATGGGTCTCTGAGGCTTTCAGACCAAGTTCAATACCCAAACAGGGTAAGTGCAGCTCCTGTGCTGACCACAGTACAGCAATGCAGAAGCAAAGCAATACCAGTCTGCACAGTGTTTTGATCAGGATGTTTTCATTTCAACTCTGTATTCCCAGCTCAGTTCTGATCACAGAATGGGAAAAAAAAATAAGACACAAACCAAACATAAAACTTTTGTACTCCAAACCAAATTTCCTGGGAATGTCATTCTCAAAAATAATAACAATGAAAATAAAAAAGAAGGAAGGGGAAGAAATAAAAACTTTTTTTTTTTTTTTAAATCACTGCTTGAAAGCATCATCAAGCAAAGGTCAAAACTTCAAAAGTAGTCATGGACTAGCTCAGCCTCAGTGGGCACAGTTTGAAGAGTCAAGGGCTCTTCTTGGCTCAGCTATCATGTCCCGCATGACATCAGTCAAGTCTAATCTCTTTTGCTTCCTCTCCCACCTCCTCTGACTAATGTTTAAGCTGTGAGCTGTCTGAGGCACGCAGCATCTTTTGTTGATCTCAACTGGAGTTTCTAGATACTGCCTGGTATAAATAATAGATTTATAAAAGCAAACCAAGACAATCCTTGTTACAGTAATAGGTGAACTAATAATCCAATTACTCTTACCCAGGTTGATGTGCAAGGAGAGCTTCCCTTTCTGCAGTTCCAAGGTAATGTAGTCTCCACGCTGTCCTTCTCCGTGGAATAAGACTCCATCCCCCTGCATGCTCTTGAACTTCAAGGAAACCACATCTTTGAATGTGCTCATAAGCTTCTGATTGAACCTGTAGAGGAGTGAACTTCTGCCATCGAAGTCTGCAATATCTGACTCTGGGAGAAAGAAGATGGCCAAATGAAGAGGAGGGGCAGCATCAGGAGAGGGATATTTTTTCAAGATCTTTTCATGTATCCCTTGGACCCAGGTACTCTCAGAAGCATACATCCACAGGACATGCGTGCCATGTGGGCAACCACATTTCCAATCCTCCCCCTCCATCTGGGGAAAGGGAACACACTAGGCTAAAAGCAGAACTCCTCTGCACTTTTCCTCCTCTCTCTCATGCAAGAGTGCTTTCTCACTCAACTTTTTAGAACAGAACAGGTGCCTTCCATCATACTGAGATCTCCAGAGCATCCCTCGCCACACTTGCTGTTTGTCTCATAAACACACCCAGGATGTTATTCATTACTTTGAACGCTTCAGTTCTCACTCCAGTTTTTGTAGCTTCACAAGCATCTGTTGAGCTGTTTCTGTGTGTCGGCCATGCCTGCATCCACCTTTGCATCCAAATAAGCATCATCTTAGCCTCTGAGGGTTGGCTGCTTGTTTGTGACGGGCATTTATCAACCATGTTTCTGCATGCAAATTGACTAGCCTGGCAGGAACAGCCAAATATCAATTCAAAAAGCTTTTGAAGGGATTTCATGGGAACTGGGCATCTAAACTGATTATACACCTTTGAAAATCCTATTAGAAACATATTTTCCCCTTCAGCCTCTAAAACCCAATCACTGTGATGGGAAACAAGCTTTAAATTCTTCAATTGCAATTAATATTTCCTTTGGCAGCAGCAGCCTGCAGTACTCTGTTTGCTTTATAAAGTGGTATTTTAAGCAAAATGTTTTTTACTAAACTTTGTTTTAAAAAAATATATATATAACCAGAGCATTTCAGGTAGCTTTAAATACTTTTAACTAATAAACTGTATTCAAACATGTGACTGACATATGTAAATTCAATTCCAATGTCTATTCAAATGCAATTTGACACAAATAATGGATAAAATATCTACTCTTAAATAATAAATCAGACAATTGGTAGTTCCTGTTGTTAAGAAAAAAATAAAAATTAAGAAGACCAGACTATGAAGAATCTGACCAAGGGTTTACTGAGCTACTGGGATACATGCATAAAGACAAAGAACACCTTCAAAGTAACCAAGAAGAAAGAGCATAGACTATCTTTGTTTGCAAACGACATTTTAATGATAATCCAAAGCTATTAGTTTTCCATTTTCTTTTGAAAAATAACTGAAAGGTCCCTATACAAAACAATCAAGACTTCCAGGTCAGCAACTGCATTGTGATTAAAGTTGGTGATTTAAGTCACCTAAGCCCCTTTGAGAATTCTTCTGTCCTTTTGAGTGTTAATGGTAGTTTCATTTGCTACTCTTTTAAAACAGAAATAATAAGGGTTGGGGTATTTTCCCCGCTTTTTTTCTTTTTTTAAACTGGATCAATATTTAAAAAGGTTTGCAACGTAAAACTATTATAACCTCAGAAAACAAAAGACCTGTTAATGACTTGTTATCATGAAAACTACCATTGAGAACTTCTGCATGTCAGTATGACAGTTTCATAGAATCATATGAATCATAGAATGGTTTAAGTTGGAAAGGACCTTGAAGATCATCGAGTTCCAACCTCCCACTAGACCAGGTTGCCCAAGGCCGTGTCCAGCCTGGCCTTGAACACCTCCAGCGATGGGGCCTCAACAACCTCTCTGGGCAACCTGTGCCAGTGCCTCACCACACTTAAAGTGAAAAACTCCTTCCTAATGTTTACTCTAAACCTGCCCTCTTCCAGTTTAAAGCCATTCCCCCTCGTCCTGTCACTACGTGACCTAGTAAAAAGTCCTTCCCCAGCTCTCCTGTAGGCTCCTTTTAGGTATTGGAAGGCCGCAATAAGATCTCCCCGGAGCCTTCTCTTCTCCAGGCCGAACAGCCCCAACTCTCTCAGCCTCTCCTCATAGGAGAGGTCCTCCAGCCCTCAGATCATCCTCATGACTCTCCTCTGGACACGCTCCAGCAGGTCCATGTCTTTCTTATGTTGAGGACTCCAGAGCTGGATGCAGTACTTCAGGTGGGGTCTCACAAGAGTGGAGTAGAGGGGCAGAATCACCTCCCTTGACCTGCTGGCCACACTTCTTTTGATGCAGCCCAGAATGCGGTTGGCCTTCTGGGCGGCGATTGCACATTGCTGACTCATGCTGAGCTTCTGGTCAATCAGCATGCCCAGGTCCTTCTCCTCAGGGCTGCTCTCCAGCCATTTCCCACCGAGCCTGTATTTGTGCTTGGGATTGCCCCAACCCAGATGTAGGACCTTGCACTTGGCCTTGTTGAACTGCATGAGGTTGGCTTGGGCCCACCTCTCCAGCCTGTCCAGGTCCCTCTGGATGGCATCCCTCCCCTCCAGCGTGTCTACCTTGCCAAACAGCTTGGTATCATCGGCAAACTTGCTGAGGGTCCACTCGATCCCACTGTCCATGTCACCGACAAAAATGTTGAATAGTACAGGTCTCAGTACCGACCCCTGGGGAACGCCACTCATCACTTCTCTCCACTTGGACATTGATCCATTCACTGCAACTCTTTGAGTGCTACTGTCCAGCCAGTTCTTTATCCACCGGGTGGTCAATTTGTCAAATCCATGTCTCTTCAATTTAGAGACCAGGATATCGTGTGGGACAGTGTCAAACACTTTGCACAAGTCCAGGTAGATGACAGTTTGTACACAAGTTTGATGGCACACTTACAAACGTGCACAGAGTTCAAAATATAAATTCGATGTGAAAATCTGTCACTCCAAAATTGATTCCATTCCCAATCAGGAGGCAACTGATTACTTCTTATGAAAATAAAACTACGAAGAAATTCAACCCTGGGAAAAATATCCTCCAGAGTAAACTAAGACCAACTTCTTATCTATGATGGCAGATTCATAGATAAGAAACATGCTCTTCAGCACCATAGGTGGAATAGTTGATAGTTTAAGAATTATCATGAATACAAAAGTATTCACACCATCTGCTTTTACTGGTTTTTACTTCTGAATTACGTGTTCAGAAAAGAGCTCCTTCAGAATTGCTGATTTCTCTCTATTGACACCTTGACTGCCAGTTTCTATAAAGGGAATTAAATAGATAGTTTATTTCTTATGAATTTCCCCTATCTACATTAAATACTTCAATTTGTTTAAAGTAAATTTCAAGTGTATCATAAAAATAGTTTCATTTTATCACAGGCAGGAATTAGGAAATAGCTTATAAAGAAGTTACAGTCTTTGATTTCCAGAGCATTTTGCAGTTAAAGTTGATTTTCCTCCCAGCTCTCAAAAACAAAGATACTGTAAGAGAGCACTGATTCAATGTTGCTCTAATAGCGGTCCTTTTTTCTTCTTCTTCTTAAGATCCAAGCTTTCAACCAGTCTGAATTCACACTTCAGTCCTTGTTCTTAACTCTCCACTAAGCCACAGCAAAACGCACAATTTCCTGAAGAGCTCTACCACTGACATTTACAGAGTATAATGTAAAGGAAAACCTGTTTCTGAAAAGTTCTGCTTCACTAATTAACGGTTGTGAGTACACTGGCCAATAAACAGCCCTGAACGAAATGGGAATATGTCAAATAAATGCTAACACTGGCAGCCAAAAGTCATTAGTGGCAGTTTGCATGACAACAAATCTTTGGCTCCCTGTTAAAAATTGAAAGATACAGCACAATTCTAAGACAGTGACTCCAGAAAACCTGTTTGTTTGGTGTTTATTTAGTCCATGTATGTCCATAATCCACTTGCAGCAAAAGAACAAGGATCAGAAATCAAAAGTGAGATCAGGCAAAAGACACTTCTTTCATGTTATTCTCCTCTGACCAACAATTCAAACAGATGCCTCTGCTGTAAATACATACGTACTTCTGCTCACAGGTGAAGAAGTTCCCATAAAATAGAAATCATTCATCATGCTTTTCTGAAATTCAGTAAAGTTTATCGCCCATGGGGTCCTGGTTACATTATTCCATTTGAATTTCCTTTCCCAACATAGATCCAAACATCGAAGTCACTTGGGAGTGGTTGGAAACACAGGCAGTTGAAGCTAGCTTACTGGGCTAATTCAGCATTTAAAAAAAAAAAAAAAAAGGAATGTGACCACGGGGCTCAAGCTGTGGGACCAGCTATGCCAAGAGGAGCTGGGCTGGGAGCGATGTGAAGACATGGAGTTTACTTGTGCAGCAATCTGCTCCTGGCAGCACGACAGCAGAGAGGATACACGTTCATTCTGACAAAGATGGTTCTCCTAGTGATTTTGGAAAAAGTAAACACTTACATGGCAAAGTTATTCCAAAATACAAAACTATCCTCTAGGAACAACTGCAATTTGAGACAGGAACTTTTGGTCTTGCACTTGCAGCAATGAACAGAAACTTTAACTCCCTACAGGAGGGAGGAGGACTGTTCCTGGCCTGAAGAGATGTCTCTCCTGGCCAGTCATGCCTTATTGGCTTGAGTGAGTCTGAAGCAATCTGACTTCGCTCTCCATACCCCTTTCTCAGATATGCAATCCAAAGGATGAATATGGATGAGCACCTCAGAGGTGACTGTTCTGCCATGCAACTTTATCACTATCATAAATCTATGTCTGCCTCTTGGTAAGCAATCATTTGGGTATTTCCCTTCTGCAGCTGGTTACAAACACTAATGGGCAATGCCCATCAGCCATTAAGTGGTGCTCTGGAACACGTTCTTTTCTGTCTCATAGGAAGACAAAGGAGAGGATGGAGGAAGGTGAGGGGGAAAAGAAAAAAAAAAGATATACGGAAAAAAAGATCCAGTAAAAAAATCATTTAATCTAAACCCACAATATCAGATCATATTCCCTGAAGCAATGACAGCAAAAGATTAGAAATCAGTCTTCTGAACTGCGAATGAAGAACTTGGCTCTCAAAAGCAGAAGATACCGTCTCGCACCCCATCATTGTGTCTCCTGTGTTTTCCCAGCCTGTTAACTGCACATACACCTGACTCTGCTGATGCATTTTGGGCTGTTAACCAGTTATAGAATATGATCAGCATCTTTAATGCAGCTATAAATCTTATCCTCTAAAGGCAACTGTGTCAGCAGATTTTTTTTCCCCCTGCGCTAAGCTAACAAGACTTTTCTCAAATATAAAGATATGCCTATTCCCCCCTCACTGCCCCCAGCATCAAAAACAACTGGTTTGCCATTTGTCTGAACACATCCTCTGTTGCAGCTCTGGTTATCTGTTACAATCACACTGCTTCTGGAGCCACTGCTGCAAAGGGACAGCGAAAGCTTACACATACCTCTGCATGGAAATTTCCATTTAACTCATAACTCCTTCTCTGAAGAGGAAACATTAATGTATGTTTTCAGATCAAGATCATCTCCTTCCTATTTCAGTACCTATTTTGAGGATGTGAGATGGAATCTTACTGGAATCTTTACAGGAATTTCAAATAAATGCACTTAATTTTCATTTAAATACATACTTTCTGTGTAAGAAAGTAAACAACAATTAGCATGTGTCATCGGTGAATTCCAGCCACTTTGATGGCCTTGGAATGCTTTGCTGCACAGGAACTTCAACCTGTATGTGATAGGGACAAGCACATGCACATGTCTGAAGCAGCTTTGCTGTTAAAAACATGTTGTTTTGTTCCAAAGAAACTATGTCAACTGGCAGCTGATTAGAGGGTGAAAAGAAAATAGGGGGGAGGAAGAAAAGAAAGCTATCTTGTTGGAAAGAGGTGTTTTGGGGATAAATTCATAATAGTAAATTACTTCTAGCAGGACTAATAAACAATAGTGAGTGCCATTCAGCAGCACAGTGCACTCACACGCTAAGTTAGCCACTTTGGCATCTGCTACACATAGTTGATTTCTAATATGATTCTTCAGTATTTTTTGTTACTGTGTCCTGGCAGTGTTCGGTGACCTACAAGATCTGATGCCTTCCACACGCCCCCTACCAAACAGACATCACTGAAAGCTGCATTTGCCAAAAATTAGCGCAAGGTTGAGCTCTTGGGACCTCTTCAGCAGAGTACGCTGCACAGGACAGTCAGACTCCAAAAATGGGAGATCAGAGCCTTGTGTTGGCAGAAGAGTGTCACATTCACCTAACTTTGCCATCGCAAAAATGCTTAAGCAGCAGCCAGGCCACAAACCTCTCCTACAGCTGTCATCTTCTGCTCAAATATGCAAGGTTAAAAAGGAGCTGATGTGAGCAGAGACCACCCAAGGAACCACGGGCTATTTTGCATGCCCTGGTGTTTCACAGCGAGGCGCTCAGCTGCGTGTTTGGCAGTAGTCCCAGGGTTTTAACAGATGTGCAGCAGCACATGAAATTCAGACAGCCTAAGCTCTCGGTGTCCCCAGACTTTTGTTTCAGCCAACCAGTGAATGCTGCCACTCACACAAAAAAAAAAAGATCTCCAGCTTGCCTGTAAATGAAAACTTTACTTCTGCAGTTTTTTTTGGCCTCAGGTATCAATATAAAGCAGCTCTGGTTTCAGATCAGGTGCTGCGCTCATGGGGCAACATTTGCCTGAATGGTGGAATGGCCACACAAGCAGTCCAGCATAATCTGAATTTCAGCCTTCTTCTACAAGTGGACTAGGAGGTAGAAATGACGCCACAGTCACACATGCAAGTTTGTGCAGGATTTGGTTCACATGCGTTGCCCATGCACATGTTGTCTTTTTATCTTATACTTAGGGACTGGATCCAAAGCTAAAATGCCAGTGGAAATCCTTTCTTCAACTTCAGTGGACCTAAGATCAAATACTCTGGGTTTGTTTACCTATAGAAGCCCATAAGTCATTCCAACAGCTTAAATAGGATTGGGCATAACTGGGAATTAGGCTCACACAGATGAATTTCTATCAGCTGAAGCCTTTGGTTCAGGGAGGTGACAACTAACGCTGTTCCTAATCGCAGCCTCACATCCCTTCTTTCACATACACACAGACACTTGCATGAAGGGTCATCTCTTAGAGATGGTACACATTTGGGAATTTGTTCTAGCTCCATTTCCTTCCTGGCTTGTCCAACAGCCTGTCTCTAGTCCACTTTTTTTTTTTTTTCATTTTCATTTTTTTAACTCTTTTCAAATTCCTAATACATATCTTGTGCCAGAATTGAACATGGTGGATGAGTCTGTATGCTGTCAAACATTACAAAATGCTGTTATGTAGCTGTACACCAGCTCAGGATCTGCTGCAGATATTCTGTCAGTATAACAGTAAAGATGACATTTTATAAATGATCAAACATCTTTTGTACAGTGCTGGAGTGCCTGGGTTAGGAGTAGCCAAGACTGTGAAACTATATAAGCAAAACTTGTAGACAGGTATTGCTTGGCATATGCAATTTGCCAGAGAGAAAGTTGAATGGCACATTTATATAAACGGAATGAATATTTCAACACTCCGTAAAACTTTTATGAATCCCTTTATTTCTTTTCTGGCTGGCTTCAATCTCATACCTTAATTCTGCACAACCACTTTTATTTCCTGTAACTGCAGGGTACAGGACAAAGATGAAGACTTAGATGATATCAGTGCAAGAAAACTCAGCCTGCAAGTGACTCTGAAGTCTTCCTCATGTCATAGAAGATACAACCACAATCAGACACAAAAGTAGTGCCCGTGTAGTATTCCGCATGGAGTAGCACCAACACACATTCAGCTACAAAAGTTTCAACCTTCAGTTTGAGTTCTGTTTGTTGCACGTCTGTTTGAACTATACTCTTCACTGCAGAGGTTTGGTCACCATTAACAGAATAAAGCTCTTTGAAAACAGATGAGATAGCTGCTTTGGAACAATGTCATCAAAGGCAGTTGGTTTTGATTTATAGGTTTCAGTTTCCATGTCCACTAGTAGGGCTGGAAAAGGTCTCTTGCCCTAGTGATGATCCACCCAGACAGGGGTGTTGCAGGTTTCTGCTTAAATGAATGACAGTCCACAGTGCCATCAGTTTCCACCAAAGTAGGTGGAGAAGCAGCATTTTAAAAAAGCTGAATGGATCTTTTAGATCTACACATAGATCTACACACAGACCATAACAAAGATCTTCCTGTGAAACCATGTGAATCAGTCCTAAGACCTGAGTGTAGTGATGAGGCCACTACGAGTCCTGGAGCTGTGTCTCTGTTCAATGGGATCATGTGAATCAAAAGGTTTAAGACACTTTGCTTTTTAATTCTATTCAGATGAATTTAAAAAGTCTCTCAAATACGAATTTTTCCACTTATTATCTTACAACGCCTTTCCTGCACCCGGCAGGAGCAGATGAGGACCTAAGCTAAACGGGGAGATGTACAAGTACAGTAGTGTCACATGATGCTGACTTGTGCCACACCACGTTGAACTTACTGGTAAAATGCCATTAATCCCCTGAACTCTCCCCAGAAAAATCTCTCCTGTCTCCAGCAGTGTCTGAAGTCACATTTGACCATTTCATAAATAAACCCACAGCCACCCAAGAAACAAATGCCAGACTGTGTTTCCTCATTTGTAGACTTGTTTTCGTTTTGTGTGAGTGAGAAACACTGGTTCTTTTTCTTTACATTCATAGTCTTTCGTGGTGATAGGTCATACATCTGCAGCAGCACCCCAAGATAACTGTGCAGCTGAAATGTCCTAAGGCAACAACGTTTATAGGCTGCTCCAAACTCCATGTGACCAAGCTCTGCAGACTATGTCTTAGAGCATCATTACCACGTGTTATGAAGAAGAGTGCCAAAAAACCACTCATGCAAAAGCAGTTTAAACAGCAGACAAGTTGTCTGCTTCCTGGAGCTATAAAGTCATCAGCCTCCAATAGAAGTATGAGCACAAGCTGCAGCACTTCCCTCAACAACCAGTTAACTTGCCTTAAAAACAAAAATGAACTATTTTAGCAAAAGGTGGTACCATTCCTAAATAAAGCCCTACAAAAGTTCCCAAGCAGCCCTGTGCCCTCCAGCGGGGCGAGAGGTTTTGCATCATTTGACTGCCTTACACTCACAAGAAGCAGCAAATCGCTCTGTGGTGGGCTCAGAAAGCTTCACCAGTTGAGGTAGGTGGGCCAACACATCCCTGAGCAGAAAGGCAAGAAAAACTACTGAAAAAATAAACGATGTATTTCACGTTACACTTTAACCCATAAAACTTGTGCCGGACCCCTCCCACAGCACTGACAGCATCGATGAAAAACTTATTGAGAAAACTTGCGTTAAGATGTAGCCACTTACTATAGGAGCAGCCGAAGACCTCAACTCTCAGTCCTATCCGCCCACCGACATTCCACTTCAGAGGGACGAAGCGCAAGAAGCGGGCTTTCATGGAGTGCAGGAATTTGTGGTGAACCACACTGTCAGCGTTGCTGTTCCCTGTGAAAACCTGAAAGGACAGAGAGCCTCGGTGAGACATTTAGCACCAAGAGGTGAATGCAGCACTCGGAACTAAGTGAACTGCCACCCCTCCTCTGGATTCTCAGTCTCATAAATTACTCAGAATTCTTTAAATTGATTGTCAAGCTTTCTTTGAAGCGCTGAGTACCCTGTGGAGGGAAGGAAGGGAGACAGCAGCACACTGAGCACCTTGGTGGAGCGGGGGGACATATACAGGGAGTTACAAAAGCAGGTTATTGATGGGGATGTTGCAGAAGATGCTGCATAATTTCTGCAAATTCAGGATATTCTTGTGCACCACAACACTCCATCAGTCCCTAACACACACACACGCAGTCCCTTCAGTGCAGAGAAGGATGGCGCCCAGTTTAGCCTTTGGTGCCTTCATAGTAGTAGAAAAAGGTGGTCACAAGTCATTGAGGTTGGCCAGAGCCTGGGAAGACTAACAGGAAAGTGTACATCTAGATATGCCACAGAAAACTCAAGCAAGACTCAGGAAGAGATGAAAACTTGGGTCAGTACACAGGAGAGTCAGCATTTCGACTCTTTTTGCACCCAAGAGAGTTAAAGCTTGCAAACAATAATATTTTACCTTTTTCTTCTTGCTTATTCGATTAATTGTCTGCAACTGCAAGCCAAAATTAATGGCCCTACTCAGAATTATCACTCAAGAAGAGGAAATTCTCTCATGGATGAAGGATGACTGCAGGATTTCAAAGACAAACCTTAAGACAACCATCTGAGCTCTGATCTCACCTGAAGCTTTTTTAATTCATCTTTACACCCTTATGCTGTAATATCAGGCTAGGAATATCACAGTCTTCCTGCTATCTTCTGAACATTTGAGTAACTCAGCTAGCTTTTAGATTTGAAGCCAACAGTTTTATAAAACATGAAAACCAAAGACAGAACTCACAAAAAATAATCTCACGGGAAGGTCGTATTTGTAAGAGGTCCTTCGCTTTGTAAGTATAAAATTTCATCACAAAAAGTTGTACCAGTTTTAAATGCTTCTGCAGTTCAAAAGCTGGCACCATTCACCTGCGCAATACAACTGCAAGCACAAATTGGAGTAACCCCAGTAAAGTAGACCTACAATTCATTCCTGATGGCCAAAGGATGAGTTAAAGAGATTGGGGTTTTCATCTCCACTTTGGGAAAAAAGGACTAATTAGCAGCTGTTTAAAGTTTAACTCAAACAGAAGCATTCCAACTTTTCCCCAAAGGCTGTTAAAAATGGCATTAAATTTCAAATTCAATGTGTTCTTTTTTCACTAAGCCCGGCATGCTATTGTTTTATTAGAACTATATCGAATAGAAAATATCCTTGAACATTTCTAAGGCACAATACTTTGAAACCATACCATGCTTTTTTTCATTTAACCTTAAAAACTCTAAGCTGGGAAAATTCCCTTGTATGCAATAAGCCTTATTTTCCACCCAGTCATGAATGCAAAAGACAGCATATATCTCAATTCCTAAAACACGCTTTGCAAGCGCATTTCATTGCCGGTATTGCTTGCCTCTGAAGATGAACAATTTTACTGAAACGATTTCTCACAGCCCCAGTTACCTCAGTGAAGTGAGGAAGGACCCTTCAAAACATGTGGTCTGTAAAATTGTTTTTATGAGGAGCTTATCAGGCTGAAAAGGGTATATAATTCGGCTATCCCAACTGCCCCCAAAGCTTTGCTTAACCTGCGCCTCTTATTCTGAACTTTTTATGCACACGATCTTGTTTTCTACAAGTATTACGTGATGGTTAACTAACCTCTCGCAAATTCAACTATATTATATAATTAAAATTTTTTTGATTGGGATTCTTGTTGATCTTAATTCAAAGTTAACCACATACGGCAGTTCAGCAGCCTTGTCCATGAGATATGTTTTGAGGAGTGCCACGAGTAGCGCTTGGGCTTACTCATGCTGCTTCGCAGATAGGAGCCAAATTCAAATTGCAGCAGAGAGTAGTTCAGAGTTTTTTTCCTTATATTTCAAGTGAAAAATCTTGTTCTTCTCAGTAATGAAACTGTCAGCAGAGAGTAAGTCTCACAGTCAGAGTTGTGGCAGCACTCACATTTTTATTAAGACACTCATGGATATGTAAGATGGATAAAGGAGAGTGTTGTTTTCTGTTTGCTTAGCTCATCCTCTTGGAATCCTGGGATTATGTAAAAGTCTCACCTTTCATAAGATAAAAAAGAAAGAAGGAGGAAGCAAGAAAAAAAAAGAATAGAGGAGGAGCAAAGGGTTTCCAGTCCTCCTAATTGTGAAGAAAAGCTTAAAATGCAGTGACTGGAATACAAGGGAAAGGTGAAAATTAAGACAAAAAAAAAACAGTACACCTTAATATAGCGATACTGTGAAACAAGGGTCCATGTTGTTTTTTTGTCATAATCCTCTCATACACCAGGCTGTCAGTACTGCACATTGCATCACAGGCCCGCAAGGTAATCATTTTTCAGTTTATATAAAAAAGAAAACATTCTGGGAAGAAAGACCGAGCTGAAAAGCGCAGCACCTCTAGAAATATTGCCTCGCATTTACAAAGTAATGGGAACCAGGTGACGGGCAAATACCACCGTGTGCTAAACAGCCCACACACTCCTGCTTGGAAAGCGGGCAGGAACGCAGCCCGCGCAGGCGCACAGCGACACGCTGTCATCAACACTCCCTCCTGGCGGCTGGAAAACCAGAGAGGCCCTTCACGACTACCTGTAACCCTTGACAAGGGCAGTCTTGACACCTTTCTTGCAGGGCAAACCTGTAAAGACTTTTTTTTTTTTTTGCAGAGCTCACGTGAAGCGCACACCCAAGCGCGACACGCCGGAGCATCCCCGCTGCTGGCACGGCCCGAGGCAGCCCCCTGCCTCCGCGCAGATGGTGTGTACAGCACACTCCAGGGACTGCGCAGTCAAAGCAGCTTTGTGGTTTTGCCAGGTAAAACAGAGGCAGCTGTACCCCACCGTCCGCAAGCAGACCCAGGTGCCCACCCGCAGGCGTCTGTGCTGGAGAGTTTCTTTCTCGGCGGCTCAAGGAAGAGCCAGAATTATCCACAACCAGCCTGCGAATCAGTTGACTCCAAACCTGATGTGCAACTACGTAAAAACATCCCACGTCGAAATAGTCACATCAGTAAAAATAACCCTTTCAAAAGTCCACAACCTCACTTACAGCAGTGTTTCTCAAGCTTCTCTAATAACCAAAGAGCAAATGAAACTTTTTTTGGGAAAAAATCCACAGGCAAGACTGTACCCATCGATCTGCACCTACAAGGTAGTTCTGCATGCAGCCGGCGCATCACTGCTTGCTGCTAACTGTGGGGCATCACTGTGTATGCCTTTAGGATTGCTTTGATTTTTGCTTCCAACTCCCACTGCTCTACAGATCACCTTCCCACGTTTTATGGACCACCTGTGGGCTGTAGACCATTGATTGAATAACACCAGTTGCCACAGATGGTCACTTGAAAACTTAGATCCACAGCTGACACAGAAATAATCCATCCATTAAAGAAGATGAAACGAGGATGTAGTACCAGATTTTGTAGCCCTGGAGGTTCAAATATCGATTAACAGTAAACTTATTGGTGAGAATGGCAGAAATCGTTCCTCTTGAGAAACGGCCTCTATTACAACTTGTTGTTGATAGGGATTAATTCACAGGAACCAGGCGACAAACTAGCAGAGAAAACAAAGCGCCCGCATGCCGTTTCCCATGCAACACAGTGGCTCTGGGAAGGAGCATAACACTGAAATCTGTGGTTTCTTACAAGCCCTGTAAACACCACAGACTGGGAAATTCTGCTTCTGGCGTTCTATGGGGCTTATAAATCAAAAAGCTCCATTAGCACCAAATATTGCCCCCAGCTTCTCGAAGGCAAAAGCTTTTCCCCAGCACTGGCGGCTGTAAGGTTAACAGCTTGCCACAGGCAGGGCTGCCGCTCGGACCAAGCCTGTTTCATGATGCCCGGCCGCCTGGTGCCCCGCTGTGACACAGACCATGGCACCGCAGTAATATTTTATGAGGCTTTTTTAATGGGCCCACAAAGGCAGGTCCCAACGGCACGAAGAGGTGAGGTAAGAACAGCCGCAGTGGTTCGGAGCAGGGTCCAACCAGTCCAGCGCCGCCTCTTCAGCGGCGGCTGTCGGCGCGTAGGGAAGAGTAAGAAGGAGACAAGCACGTACAATACTTTTCCCAATGCTCAGCCTACCTGGTTCGTGGGTTGTACTGAAGTGGAAAAAAACAGGACTCCCATTTAGATGAAAAAGAAAATTTTCAAAAGAAGTTCAAATCTCAAACCCACCATCGTTACCTGGAATTTGGATGTATGACTCCCCCAGGAAAAAACAACAATTCAAATGAATGGGCTGTTTACACAACTCTCCCATTCAGAGGGATCCCAAAAGATGTTCAAGGGTAGTTCAGGAAAATGTCACGCAACTGCGGTGAAATATGGCAGTTGTTTAATAACCCTACAGACACACATTTGTTTCTCTGCCTCATGTATTAATCCAGATCTATGCCAGATCATACCAGGGAGATCTGATGTGCTAAACTTAAGATCGCCCTTTTCGCCAAACTCTTAGGCTGGTCTCCACCTTCAGACAGACAAGTGGAAATCGGGTGCAAGAAAAGCATCTGCTCACGAAAGCCTAATCAAGTCAAAAAATAGCATCAGATGTGGGACTATCTCAGCCTCCCCTGCATGCACACTCCGCACAGCAAACGGCAACTTATTGACAGAGCTGCAGAAGGTGGTTCCCATAACGACCCTGCTGAATATATTTTGCTCTCCCACTTTGTTAGGCAGGTAATGGGATGGGTTCAAAATGAGTATGCAAGCAGCAACATAGGCACAATCAGCCCTGAACAGTGAGCAGGCAGACCTGAGGTTAACTACCTTCTAGGGGACATATTTTAAGATGTATTGAATACTCTCATTTCTGCCAAAGCCACTCTGATGAACTGAGCTAAAAAAAAAAAAAA